TGAATCAGCCGCCGGCCGACCGGTCCGAGCAGACCGGCGATCCGGCCAGACCGGTTCAGACCGGTTAATACCGGTTTGACCCAAATAATATTATTTTAATCCCGGTTAATATTTTAAGTTCCATTTTCAATTAAATTCCGGGTTCAGCTCAGTTCAGTAATTTCATGTCAGTTCAGTTCCAATTTATCCGATTCCGGTCATATCGGTTAAATCCAAGTATCACGTCAAGTCCAGTAGAGCATCTTAACATAAGAAAATAATTATTTTATCAGGCTGAGCATAGTATTTAGTAATTGTTTATATTATTTTCAGTTTGACCAAGATTCGATATCAGCACTGCTATTTTATTCAGACAGTTCAGGTGGGGACTCAAACTGGGTATTACATTGATTATAATTATTCTACCATGCTTGAGGTATGTATTATCAGTTCAGTATCCGCTCGGAATGGTCACCGATCCATTCTGGGTTCTAGTGGCCTTAGTCTTCCCACTAGAGTGTGCACATAGTGTCTGACATTTATGCTGGCAGATATTCAGGTATCAGGCAGGTGATGATGTTATCTCACCGTCAGTATTAGATCATGATTATTCAGTACCGGTTTCATGTTCATGTTCATGCCAAGATCATGTTATTGTAATTATTTTCGATGTTTACTTTAGTACGAGTTTCCACGGAGCACAGTGTATTTTAGTGCTCACGACCCACTTTTATCATGTTTTTCAGGGCAGGATGTCGGGCCGGAGGTGTGAGATGACGATGATTCAGGACTTTTGCTCATGTGATTGTAAATATTTTGATGATGCCACGTTTCCGCTGATTATGATGTTTTGACGAACTTATCTTTTGATCGGACTTTCAGATATTTAATATTTTCAGTAAACCGTAGACTTTTACTAAAGACTAAATTAACGGTTTTTCAGAATAAGACATGTTTTATAGTAGCACCCCAAATCAGTTTTCGCAAATTAAAAGATTTTATTTTAAAGGACTTTGCGAAATTACGCACTCTGATTTCACGATAAGGCGGGGTGTTACAGTTGGTATCAGAGCACGTTTCTGTGTCTCTGAAAAATTTACGAGTTAGAAAGTTTTAAAAACCCTGAACCGTCACGCTCACTCCTCGCTGACTACAGGTAAGTGCTGATTCATGTTTTCAAATTATAAACAAGTACTATTTCTATGCTCAGAACTTTTCAGTTATAAATTAGTTAAGATGCTCGAATCATGTTCAGGATCAGTAATCAGGATATCAGTCAGTATTTCCCCAGTCATGTTTAGCAACTCGTCATGAGATTTGTGTGCTTTAGTAATCAGTTAAAGTATTTCATTGAATTTAATCATGTTGAATCTTTTCAATATTCAGATGCCGCCCTGTAGGGAACCTGAACAGCCAGCGGTCCCCCAGGCCACAGTGGTCGCCCTGTTCCGCGACTACTACCCTGAGAAGTTCTCCGGCCATGGAGATCCGCGTGTTGTAGATGAGTGGATTCAGGGCCTCGAATTGATTTTTGAGGTCATGGACTGTCCGAATCGCTATCGCGTTACTTGCGCACAGCTTCAGTTGACCGGTGATGCCCGACTCTGGTGGAATGCCTACTGGAGTATGCGTCCTGGTGAGAAAGAAGGTTGTACCTGGGAGAGACTCAAGGAGATGATTCGAGAGAAGTATTATCCCACGTACTACCGAGCTGAGATGGAGCGGTAGTTTCTGTCGCTCAAGCAGGGTACTCGTACTGTTGACGAGTACGAGAGAGAGTTTACCAGACTCGGAGCTTTCGTTCCGGATTTGGTGCATACTGAGGCACAGCGAGCACAGCGTTTCACTGACGGGCTTTTTCCAGCAGTCCGTCATAATATTGTAGGTCACGGAGTCCAGACCTACGCTCGTACTGTTGCCATTGCCCAGGAGGTGGATGCCAGCATTCGAAGGGAGGCGAACCATGATCAATTACAGCCAGTTGCCCCTGCCCAGTCATCCACAGTTCCACCGACTGTTGCCCAGCCACCAAAGAACAACAAGAGGAAGGGGAAAGGCGCTCAGACGGACAGGAGGACCCGACAGAGGCCGCAGCAGATTCCACAGTGCCCCACTTGCGGACGACTTCATCGCGGCGAGTGTCACATGGGTTAGGATATTTGTTACTACTGCCACGAGCCCAGACATTTCGCTAGTCGCTGTCCGAAGAAACTCCAGCAGCAGCCACAGCAGCCCCAGTAGCCACAGCAGCAGCAGCAGCCTCGACAGCAGGCCCAGAGACCACCACAGCAGCAGCAGAGGGGCAGGCAGCAGGCCCGAGTTTATGCGGTTGATCAGGCAGAGGCTGAACAACACCCAGATACTATGTCTGGGATGCTTATGCTTAATGACATTCTTGTCTTTGCCTTATTTGATACAGGAGCAACTCATACTTTTATATCACGACGATGTCTCGATGCCATCGGAGTTCATGTCAGTACCGCTGTCGATCCTCTCGAGGTGAGTTTAGCCTTGGGACGAAAGATAGTGACTTCAGCCAGAGCCACAGATCTTAGTCTCTCCATCGGTGGTCGTATATTGCCTACCGATGCGTATGTTCTCGAGATGAGGGATTTTGACCTCATACTCGACATGGATTGGCTAACGCGTTTTCATGCAGATATTCGATGTCATGACCGGGAGATTACTCTTTTTCTTCCGGGAGATGATCAGATCACTTTCTTCAGTACTAAGACTCGTTCCTTGCCCCATGTTATTTCAATGGCGAAAGCCAGAAAGATGTTGCGACGAGGCAACTGTCAAGGTTATCTCGTCAGCCTTGTTGATGATTCTCCGAAGGCACGCTCACCTCATGATGTCCCTATTGTTCGGGAGTTTGTGGACGTGTTTCCGGACGAGCTTCCAGGAGGACCGCCTAACCGGCAGGTGGAGTTCTCCATTGATCTTATTCCAGGGGCCGGTCCAGTTTCTAAAGCACCCTACCGTATGGCGCCGAAGGAGTTGCAGGAGCTTAAGGCGCAAATTCAGGAGTTATTACGACTCGGTTTCATTCGGCCGAGTGTTTCACCTTGGGGAGCACCCGTTCTCTTTGTCAAGAAGAAGGACGGATCCATGCGCATGTGTATCGACTACCGGGATCTGAACCGGTTGACGATCAAGAACAAGTATCCGCTTCCCAGGATTGATGATTTATTTGATCAGCTGAGGGGAGCTTGTGTTTTCTCTAAGATCGATTTGAGATCCGGCTACCACCAGCTAAAAATCAAGGAGTCAGACATTCCCAAGACTGCTTTCCGTACTCGTTACGGCTATTACGAGTTCATTGTCATGCCATTCGGCCTCAGCAATGCCCCTACAGTATTCATGGATCTGATGAACCGTATTTTCTATCCCTATCTAGATCAGTTTGTCATTGTTTTCATTGATGATATCCTTATCTACTCAAAGAGCCAGAAGGAACATGAGGAGCATCTTAGGGTTGTTCTTGAGACCCTTAGACGAGAAAAGTTGTATGCAAAATTCTCCAAGTGCGAATTCTGGCTCCGACGAGTAGCTTTTCTTGGTCATGTGATTACGCAGGCAGGTATTGAGGTCGATCCTTCCAAGGTGGCAGCCGTTCAGAACTGGTCGACACCAAAGAGTCCGTCCGAGGTTCGCAATTTTCTCGGCTTGGTTGGTTATTACCGCAAATTCATCGAGGGCTTTTCCAAGATTGCTCTTCCTTTATGCCAGCTGACGAGGAAGTCTGTAGAGTTCGAGTGGACTGATCGTTGTGAAGCGAGCTTTCAGGAGCTCAAGAGGAGACTGACTTCAGCACCGGTGTTGACTATTCCCGATCCTTCCAGGAGTTTCACCATCTTTAGTGATGCTTCGAGGTAGGGTTTGGGATGTGTCCTTATGCAGGATGGCCAGGTCGTCGCTTATGCTTCACGCCAGCTCAAACCCCATGAACAGAACTACCCGACGCACGACTTGGAGCTTGCCGCTGTTGTTCATGCTCTCAAGATTTGGTGACATTATCTTTACGGCGGTCGTTGCGAGATTTTCACTGATCATAAGAGCCTGCAGTACATCTTCACGCAGAAGGAGCTCAACATGAGGCAGCGCCGTTGGTTAGAGTTAGTCAAGGACTATGATTGCACGATTCAGTACCATCCGGGAAAAGCGAATGTTGTTGCTGATGCCCTAAGACGTAAGGTGAAGGGTGACCTGACGTACATTGTTACTCAGCAGAGCCAGTTGATTCAGGAGTTTGCCCGGATGCAAATTCAGGTGGTCGACGTACTTCCTACAGTTCTCACAGGGAGTGTCAGTTCCATGCAGGTTCAGCCGACGCTGAGGGAGAGATTCCGGCAAGAGCAGGCTTCAGATGAGTTCATTCAGGCGATAGAGGCCAAAGTTCAAGCCGGAGGCGTCGAGGGTTATCGCCGAGGCACAGATGGAGCCTTGGAGTTTCGCGACAGGATTGTGGTGCCAAAAGTCGAGACGTTACGAAAGGAGATCTTGACAGAGGCTCATACCGCACCATATCTAGCCCATCCAGGAAGTACCAAGATGTATCATGACCTGAAAAGGTCGTTTTGGTGGAAAGGTTTGAAGAAAGACGTAGCCGATTTTGCCAGAAAGTGTTTAACCTGTCAACAAGTCAAAGTTGAGCATCAGAGTCCTATAGGCCTTCTACGACCACTGCCGATTCCGCGGTGGAAGTGGGAGGAGGTTTCGATGGATTTCGTCACAGGGTTGCCGAGGTCGCCTGAACATCACGACGCTATTTGGGTCGTGGTGGGCAGATTGACTAAAGTGGCTCATTTCTTGCCAGTATCGATGAGTATGTCTTTAGACAGGTTAGCTGAGATTTATACTCGCGGGATTATTCGACTCCATGGCGTGCCCATTACTATTGTGTCGGACTGAGATCCCAGATTCACTAGCAGATTCTGGCAGAGTTTGCACAAGGTGATGGGCATGAGATTAGCCTTCAGCTCAGCCTACCACCCAGAGACTGACGGTCAAACAGAGAGGACCATTCAGACACTTGAGGATATGTTACGCGCTTTGGTTGTTGACAGGGGTGCTAAGTGGGAGTCGTTGCTGCTGTACGCCGAGTTTGCGTACAACAACAGTTATCATTCTGCTATTCAGATGGCTCATGACGAGGCACTTTACGGTCGTAAGTGTCATTCCTCTCTCTATTGGGACGACGTCGGCGAACGTCGAGTACTCGGTCCTAAATTGATCGAGGAGACAGCGGAGAAAGTCGAGTTGATCCGGCGGAGACTTAAGACAGCTCAGAGCCGAATGAAATCAACCGTTGATCATCATCGACGAGACATTCAGTTCGAGGTTAGCGAGCGAGCTTTTCTCAGAGTCAGTCCATTTCGCGGAGTTATTCGATTCGAGAAGAGAGGGAAGCTGCACCCTCGGTTCATTGGCCCGTTCGAAGTGCTCGAGCGAGTGGGCGACGTTGCGTATCGATTGGCCTTACCTCCCGAGTTATCCAGTGTTCATAATGTTTTTCATGTATCCATGTTGCGTAAGTACGTGTGCGACCCCGATCATGTCATTCCTCATACTGATATTCAGATTCATCCAGACTTATCTTACGAGGAGCGACCGATAGCTGTGTTGGACCGACAGGTTCGACGGCTCCGGAAGCGTGATATTCCCCTCGTTCGTATTCAGTGGGATCGCCACGGAGCCACTTGGGAGGAGGAGACTGATATTCGCGCTCGTTTTCTTGATTTTCAGTTTTGATGTATATATCTTTCATGTTTCATGTATATATGTTCCGTTTTGTATTTCCGAGGACGAAAATATTTTAAGGGGGTAGGTTGTAATATCCCGAGCATGTTAATAATATAATGTCATGTTTAGTTCCGGAATAATTATTTTATTAGGCGTATTTGACCGGAACTATTTATTTCAGTTAAGAATGTTTGAATTAATTTTCGAATATCATGTTTATGTTCGGAATAATTTTTCGATAATCAATCCATGTTCAATAACTCGATAAAATTTTTATCAGGCTTAATCATGTTAATCGTTCGCTAATCGTCGGGCATTTTCAATAAATCATGCTAAAGTCATTGGTTAAGCACGTTCATTGTGCTTGATTATGTCTAACACTTGAGCTAATGGCCAAGTAATTATGTACCTTATGCTTGGGGTTAGCACATTAAGTGGCCGTGTCTCATTAGTATTAGGCAAGTTTTATTAGTACATTATCATGCCTAATGTATCCAAATTGCCGTGAATTATTTGAGGCTGGTCAAAATTTCTACCGCCATCATTACAATAAGCATGTGGATGCTTGATATTCATGTTGGTGATGACTAAGCAACTCATAGTACACCTCAAGCCTTAGGTGTTTAACAATTGGCGCAAGGCCATTGGTCACGATTTCTTTCCCAATTTTCACCCAACTTTTACCTTCCTTCACCCCGTTTATATAATCAGAATAGTTGGGAAAAATGAGTTATGATTCCTACACCAAACACTCAGCAAATTTTAAGTAGATTTAAGTAAGATTAGCAACGTTCATCACACGGCAAGGATATATACGCACACGGCAATTCAAGTCCACACACACGCAACCAAGGCAAAGATATCATTAGTTCTTGTGGATTTCATTGAGCACTCTAGGAGGTAATCATGTTCGGACCTTTCTTTGATGTTATTAAGATCATGTTAGGAGTATTGTTCGGTCCATATTCAGAATTTTATGTAAAATGCTAAGTGATACTCAGTTTAAATTATTTTAGTTCAAACCGAGTGATGTTTGATTTTATTCGAACAAGCCTGAGTAGTTCATGGTTATTTGGTCCTTTTAGATCATTTTATAATCAGTCACTCCATGTTGGTCGAGATAAGTTGACGGTTGTTTATGAAATGGGCCTAAGCCGTCGGCAACGCATATAGCGCTCTCCCACGGCCGACCATGTGCGATGTCATATTATTTTTCTACTCAGTCATATTTAACCGAAGGATTCATGTCCCAACAGCTTTAAAATATTATGTTATGGTATGTCATATAAGGTTGGTCGAGAGGTTTTCACGTTTAGTCGAAGAGTTGGTCAAAAGTCGTAAGCCTCGTGCATAGCGAGTGCATCCTCGGCCGTATGTTGGTTCATTGAACAAGTTCAGCATTTTCATGTGAATTCAGTATATTGGTAATATTAAGTCAGGTGATGTTGTTTTATGTTGAAGTTGTTAGTAGAAAATGCCGGACGGCCGGCAAAGGCCGGTCATGTGCACGCTGCCGCACACAGCAGCCATGCGTGCCGGCAGTTAGGTAGACGGGCGAGTGGCCAGCATATATGTCTAGCCGGATGTCAGGTACGGCCCCTGTCCGCATCGGTCGTCAGTCAGCGTGTACTTATATCACATCAACGTGCCTACTCACGCGATAATGTAACACCCCGTCTGACTAATACATCAAAGTACGCGATTATTCG